AAACTCAACTACCTAAAACTGTACTACCAAAAACTCTACTACCAAAACCTCAACCACCAAAATCTTTACTACCAAAACCTTAACCACCAAAACCTCAACCACCAAAACCTTAACCACCAAAACCTCAACTACCAAAAACTCTACTACCAAAACCTCAACCACCAAAATCTTTACTACCAAAACCTTAACCACCAAAACCTCAACTACCAAAACCTCAACCACCAAAACCTCAACTACCAAAAACTCTACTACCAAAACCTCAACCACCAAAACCTCAACCACCAAAAACTCTACTACCAAAACCTCAACCACCAAAACCTCAACCACCAAAAACTCTACTACCAAAACCTCAACCACCAAAACCTTAACCACCAAAAACTCTACTACCAAAACCTCTACTACCAAAACCTCAACCACCAAAAACTCTACTACCAAAACCTTAACCACCAAAACCTCAACTACCAAAACCTCAACCACCAAAACCTCAACTACCAAAAACTCTACTACCAAAACCTCAAACACCAAAAACTCTACTACCAAAACCTCTACTACCAAAACCTCAACCACCAAAAACTCTACTACCAAAACCTCAACCAACAAAAACTCTACTACCAAAACCTCAACCACCAAAAACTCAACTATCAAAACTCTACTACCAAAACCTCAACCAACAAAACCTCTACTACCAAAACCTCAACCACCAAAAACTCTACTACCAAAACCTCAACCAACAAAAACTCTACTACCAAAACCTCAACCACCAAAACCGCAACCACCAAAAACTCTACTACCAAAACCTCAACCACCAAAAACTCTACTACCAAAACCTCAACCACCAAAAACTCAACTACCAAAAACTCTACTACCAAAAACTCTACTACCAAAACTTCAACCACCAAAAACTCAACCACCAAAAACTCAACTACCAAAAACTCAACTACCAAAAACTCAACTACCAAAACCTCAACTACCAAAACCTCAACCACCAAAACCTCAACTACCAAAACCTCAACCACCAAAAATTCAACTACCAAAACCTCAACCACCAAAAACTCAACTACCAAAACCTCAACCACCAAAAAGTCAACCATCATAACCTYAGCTAGGGGTGTAACAATACATCAAACTATATCGATATATCAATTAAATGGTTAATGATTCAATTATATCGAGGCAAAATGAAAATATCAATCTATATCTTCATCTTATG